TAGAAATTTTGTCGTTCATGGTATTGGAATTAGTCACGCGTAGAGCGCCGGCTAGTTAACATGTTCTACTGTTCGCTGATAATTGTGAACGAGTTGTTGACAGATATGATGCTGTACGTGTTGTGAAGTATTTGGAAAATATGGCTCAAAATTTTGACTTTTAATTTGACCTTTATTATGATTTGTGACCAATTCTAGATTCCGTTTTCTAGATTCTATAATACTAATTCCTGAAAAAAGGATTAGGGCGAGTCAAGAAAAGGGACAAATAAGGGATAATTTGAGAATAATAACCTATATTCTTTTCTAAATACAATTATGATCGTCAAAAGACGTAAATAAGGCCTTTACTGAGATCTAGGGAGTGGGGGAGGCCAGGCAACTTTTGTACACGTAANTCCAGTGTGGGGAATTTCCCGGAGGCGATGGCTTCTCCAATTGATCGGGTGGGGCCGGAACTGATGTCTTCTTTCGGCTGATGTCTTCGTGATGTCCAGAACTGTGGTAGAGGGGTGATGAGGCGAAAATTCTGGGGAAGGGGTATCCAACGGTGGCGGGATTTACCTTTTAGGGGGCAGTGTGTAATGGGAAAAAATATGTAGAAAAATAATAAAAAATAAATGAATATGCCTCGTCACAGATTATAATGGATGATAGTTAAAATTAATAATTTATTTCCAATTCGTTATTTAAAATGTTTCGTATAAACCGTTCATTAATTTCGTCAATGACATGGTATGGTATTGTGACGCATTCGACGTGGGCTATTATTCTCGCGTATTTGACGAATATTTGTTGTGATGGATGAAGACTTATTCAATGGTGTCTCTTGGAATGTTTATCGTAGATCCGTTGATCGGTGTTGTGAAGGAGATTGTGTAGAAATGGTGATATATTTAATAATAAATTTAATTGCTTTTCATTTTGTGTTTAGTGTGTTTGTTTTTTTGAGAATAAAGAATCTATTCACTTTCCCCTTATTTTCTCTTGTTGACGTTGAAAACTTCATTGAAATTTGAATTTTGGGATGAATTTTCCATGGGATGAATGTTTTGGGATGAAATTGTTTGGGATGAGTTGTCTGGGAAGAATTCACCTAGACCCCACTCCTAGTATATTGCCATTTTTTATACGCCGCCCTGCGTAATCTTTTAACTTTATAACATTCCTCGTCGAACCAGGGGACTGAATTTCTGTGGATATGATTGGGAACGGTTTTCTTGAGGCGTATGTTGGATGATCGTGTCACTAATTGTTTTTATGGAGAAGACGTATTTCTCGGAGGGTGTCATAACTTGGATGAAAAAATGAGCTATATGACTGTTTTAAATCATTATCAATTGATTCCCCGTCTGTCCTCAGAGAGGATGATTTGAAAGACTTTTTTCTGTAAATTGATTTATCCGAAGCAAGTTGAATCAGCACCGGGAAGTGATCGGAATCTTGTGGTTCGTCATGAATTTTGTACTTAACTCAGTCAGCAATTGAACTTGAGGATATTAAAAGATCCAAATTAGATTCTAAGCGTTCGTCTAGTCTAATAATGGTGTCAGTGTTATGAAAGATTAAATTGAAACTTGATAAGCTATTTAGTAGTCTCTCCCCGTTAGAGTCAGTTTTTGAACAATTCCAAGCGAAATTATGAGCGTTGAAATCTTTAATAAGTATGCTATGATCATGGTATTAAGCTAACGAGATTATCAGGTCCCAGTCTGATTGAGGAATGATTTTACCGGGAGCTCTATAAATTCCAAATAAACCTATTTCCGGGTTGGTTTCAGCGATTTCGCTCGGAATACGTTCAGTATTTATACGTCTATAAGCAATGTCTTCTTTAATAGCAATTAACAAACCTCCTCCCTTGCTATATTCTCTATCCTGTCTAATAATGTTGAAACCTGCAAAAAATTTATTCTTCACATAATTAGAGGGTAACCATGGTTCTGTACAAACTATGGTATCTTGAGTCTTGGACACTAGTTCGAGTTCTTGCAGATGTCAGCGCAAACCTCTACAGTTCCAATAGTAGATCTTCAGGCCATTAAAGTTGACAGAACTGGAATTGGCTCGATGGGGATAAGAATTGTTGCTCGTAGAATTTATGATGATTTGTGAGTGGTTTCAACAGCATCGGGTTGCTCTGATCCTATAGAGATTACTGGAGGTTTCGTAGTCTGAGAGGTGGCCGAACGTTCCTGAGAGGCTTCACCAGTTGGTGAGGGGGGACTAAATGATTCCAGCTTCCTGATGAGTCTGCTGATACGGTTCTTGAGCGGGCGATCACCAAGAAACTTGACGGCATTTTTCAACATTGTAATAACGCCTGGAGTATCTTGAGTCACGTCAAGTAATACAGACAGTGGATTGGAAACACCCTATATTCTGGCAAGGAAAACCTTCAATTCATCGAGAGACAGCAGATATACGTGCTTGAACTCTTGTATCTTTAAGTCAGCAGCTGAGAGATGAGCATCGAATTGCTTCAAACTATCATTGGAAGAGAGAGAATTACATGTAGAAAGGCTATCACTTTCATCGTCGGAGCAAAAATTGGGAAGATTTGCCTTTTTGCTTCCAAATGGAAGCATTGTATTCCATGGACTTTTAGATTTTCTAATTTTGCGTGGAAATGATATAGAATGGTCTGAAATGTAAAAATACAAAGTTTGACGACTGTGTCTGTATGTGCGCATGGTCAACTTGACCAACTTGATGGTCAACTTGTAGAAAATCGAAGGAATAAACGGATAAAAAAATTTTTTAAAATCTGAAATTTCGTAAGATTATAGGTATGAATGTGGACTAACTCTTTGCACCGGTTCAGCTGAATCGGTCTAACCGTTTTCGAGAAAAAGCCATTTGTGTCTAAATCGTTTTTCGTAAACATCTCAGATTCTATCCATGAGATTTCAATTTTTTTTTAAATACTCGCCTCGATGTCTCTTATCTAAATCAATCGAAATACGTATACCCGTTTGTACTAAATTTCAGAGATATTTCAATTTTTCCATTTTTCGCTCAAAATCCTTGTTCGCACGCTAGTTATTTTTTTAATTGATATATCAACTTGAAATGTGGCACAAGTCTGCCTCTTAGTACTGCAATGGATGGGATTGAATATGGGCTGAATCAGATGATTAGTTTAGGAGATATTCAAAATTGTATCAAAATCATTTTTCATAAATATCTCAGAATCTATCCATCCGATTTCAATTTTTTTTTTCAAAATACTTGCCTCGTTGTATTCTTTGTTTTTTGCTTTTTTTGTAATGTCCTTCCTTTTCTTTTATTATTCTTATCCTTTTCTAAATCTTTTTTCGCCATTTATTTATCCCTTTTTGCTTCCGAATGAAAGCCTTGTATTTGAGCGATTTCTCGATTTTCTAATTTTGATGGCAAATCGTCCAGAATGTTATGAAACGTGCAAAAATAATGTTTTTAGGATCATGTCTGTATATGTGTGGGATAACTTGGGTGCTTGGTGATCAATTTTTAGAAAATTCAACATAAATACGGTGAAATTTATCGATAAAAGTCTGAAATTATGGCTCCTAGTAGCTATGATTATGCTTCACTTTGGTACGCAGTTTCAGCCCGGTCGGTCCAGTAGTTCCTGAGATAGAACTTCATTAAATTTCGTTTTTCCTCACAATCTTAAAATCTACTCCACTGATTTCAATATTTCTTTTTTCAAAATACTCGTCTCGATGGCTTCTATCTAGATCGAATCAAAATCTATATACTCGTTCAGACAAAATTTGAAGATATTGCCATTTTTCGGTTTTTTTATGAAAAATCTTGTTTACACGATAACACTATAAAGAATGGAGATAGGGAGTTGAAATTTTGTATGTTTCAAGCTTTTATAACATCAAAGGTTGGTATCGTGGATGGGGGTAATTGGTTGAGCGGTTCTTGAGTTATTCAACCTTTTGTGTAAATATATTTCTTCAAATTTCTCATGAACTACTGGACGGATTTCAATTTTTTTTCTCAAAATACTTGTCTCGTTGGCCACCATCTAGATCAATCAAAATATGTATATTCGTTCATACAAAAAATCAGAGATATTCCCGTTGTTTTTTTTTTCATCCTTGTACGCACGATATTTTGAGAAAAAATAAAAATAGTAAGTTGAAATTTGGTGTGTTTATAGCTCTTACAATACTGAAGATTCGTATTTTGAATAGGCGCAATCGGCCGAGCAGTATCGGAGATATTTAACTTTTTGTACAAATCTATTTCATTAAAAGGGATCATTTTATCCCAGGACTAATAAAAAGCTTTTCTATCCAAGCTTTTCTATCCACATGAGTGAGTTCCTTGACTAGTTCTTTGTTTATTAATACGAAGATAATTCTCTTGTTAGAAATGTGTGCAACGGAGATCATTGCAGCTGGATTGATGACCTTCCCGAGAGCTAAAGCATAGTCACGAGTTGTGAACCCATCAATTGCTTATAGTACTATTGCTTGATCTTTTTGCAGTAGATTGGCTTGTTCAATAATCTGGGAGTAGGAGCGCTTGGGGAGGAGTCTTGATGTATCGAAGACATGATTGACGTTGATGTTTCCCCTGTAGTCAGAACAAATACGAAGTCAAAAAAAAATAAGATTCACTGGGTATACACCCACACACACACAGTAAACTGTGGAGCTCAAAGAGAATACTTGAACAATGCCTGTTAGTTTCAATGGATAGGAAACACAGAATTTTGATATCACTCGGTGCGCGTTGTAAACACGTCTTACCTCGGCGACTGCCCAGTGGGTACTGTCAACTTCGCGATTTAACGTGAACATCGCCGTCATATGAGAAAGAAAGGCTTTTATTGTGTTTTCCACCGCTCCCCTCCTTGAGACAAGTATAAACTTCAATTTCAACTTGATTAACATTTTACACAAAGATTACAACTTTGCGATTTAACGCGATGATCGCTATCACATGAGAAAGGAGGATATGCATAACATTCTTAAGATTAAAAATTGTCTCTGTTCCAGGAGAGGCTGTGATTTGTTACGAGTGCAACAGCAGATTTGATCCCAGATGTGGTGATCCCTTTGATCCTTATGGCCTTGGAATTGTCAATTGCAGTCTCCAGCCCCGATTGGAACATATGAGTTCTTTGGAACCAACTGTATGCAGAAAAATTTCTCAAAAGGGTAACTTCTGCACTGCATTAATGAAACTGGATGAATTGCAATTGAACAAATTGGTATCAAATTGGTATCTGTAAACAACTCACTTTGTACCACATATCATCCCTTTGCAGAAGCATTGATGACAATTGTGTTTTTCACTGTGAACAATCAATTGAAGATGATTGGTTTAAATTTACTTGAAACATTGAAAAATGAATAGTCAAAAGTTGCGATTTCGAGGCTAGCATTTCGGTGATTTTTCACTCGAATGTTGATAGTTGACGCTACAGGATGTATCTCTATAATACTAGTCATCACAAGGCCAAAGAAATAGCAGGCGGCTGTATCTTCGATACAGCTGTAATTGTACGTGGATACGTCCATGGTCTTTCCTTCTTTCTCGAATTTTCTGGGAACTCCTTGAATTCTCCCGAATTTTCTAGAAACTCTTTGAATTCCCTCGAATTTTGGAGGAACTCCCTGAATTTCCTCGAAATTTCTAGAAACTCCTTGAATTTTTTTGAAATTTTAAAAATCTTCTCGAATTACCTCGAAATATCTAGAATTTTCTAGACTCCCGACAGATGGCGCGGCACATAAGGCCCGTTTCCCAAAATGACCCCCCATATTGAAACCATAGACGTATCCACGTCAATATCTAGACTGACATTACCACTGCACCAGATATTTACACTCTTTACTTTATACGATACTCTTTACTTTACTTTGACTCTTTGATTGCCAATTTACGACTGACAGCGGAGCGTGCCGATCCGCCTTTTATAGCGAATTTTGAATCTAGAAATTTATATACTGGAAATTTCTATGAGTAACAACTCGTCGCTATCTTATCGATAGATCGAATATATCGAAAGTCAGCATCGTCGATAGATGGTGCGGCTGCAAAAGCATTTTTTTTACCGAACGACCCCCCATAACGAAACCATAGACGTATCCATGCCAAAAAAACTGTTCTAGCAAATATAAGTTTGCAAAATGAACGGAAGATGAGTACAGCAGCCATATGGGCCATAACTAGATATTTTTGTTGTAACTTTCGTCAAGTGTGAAGCATTATAAACCTTACTTACGGAGTAATGAAAATATATAAATAGGTTAAATCAATAAATTGGAAAATACACATGGATATAATAATTCAACGTGGATAAATATAATGGGGCATTCCATGTCAACTCGTGAGGTTTCAAACCTCATGGTCTTAGATTTGCTTGCGGATGGCTCCACCCATTCATCACGTAAATATAACACCCCGTATTTTTTTTTGTTTTCCGTCAACCGTTTAGCAACAATCGAATTTTGAACTTTTTAACTTTAGACGCTATTTTCGGCTTCCGGTGATAAGTTACGTGAAAAATTGTAAAAACGGAAATTGTTTGTTTTTCCATGCAGCATTGGATAAAAATATCAATTTTTCTATTAAATATTATTAGGACGCTTTTAGAGTCAAAAAACCTTCATTTTCACCACAAAAACTTGATTTATGAAAAAAAAACATTTTTAATTTGCATGAAATTTTCACCACATAAAATACTATGTTTTACGATCATTTTCGTAGATATCGCATCACTGGATCTCAAAAGGAGATTTTTTAAATGGATTTTTGAAAAAAAAAAGAAAAATTTGTCAACTGAAATTTTTCGCGGTTATCTACATGTGTCACCTACGAATGGTAGATTGTCTGGACCTCACGGTGGCGCAGTCGGTATGAGACAATGGTTTCGAGATACGTTGAAGATACGGTTCAAATCCCAGGATCTCACGGATAAATGTAAAAAAAAAATCCGGTAATTCGTTAGCTCCCTCATTCTACACCTCCTAGTCAGTACTTCTGTAATTATAAAAATGACTTCGTTGATAATCTATGGGAAATTATTATTTTACATTGAGAAAATAAATCGATGTATACAATGGAGAAAATGAATTAAGGGTATAGAGGTCAGTCACCCCCTCTACTGGGTTCCCACTTTGTCGTAGTGAGGGGGCTCGGTCGCGGGCGGTGGAGGTCTTAAGGACTACCGCTGCTCGCGGTCGCTAAGAGGAGTCCACCCAATCCATGTGTGTGAGCGGCGTAAGCCATGGCCTCGGCCATACCGTGCCTAAGGATGCGTGGCACAGGGGGAGCTGTGTCGCTAACGGTGCCTCTCAGAAACCTGGGCGACCTCTGAGAGTAGTCTTGGGTGTAACCCACCCGAGACAAGCCAAGCCCTGGGCAATCGCGGCAATGCACCAGGTGAAAACGCTTAACCGCGGTACTCGTGGGACTAAAATGGAAACCAATTTAAAAAATCTTAATATTGAAAAAGCAACTTCGGGTGGGGCCAGCGATGGCGAACACACGAAGTCTGACAAGGCTGACCAGTCTGGTACCGATGTGAATCGGGTCAGACTGAGTGGAGCCGAGAGAAGACGTCGCAAGAGAGCGAAGCTGCATCAAACCTCGGGGGCGATTGCAACCTTGACGGATGCAGCAGCGAAGGTCGATGAGGGAAGGGGGGAGGGGGCTACGAGGAAGGCAATAAAACGCCTTCCATCAGAGCGTACTACGCCAAGCCCCTCAGTCAGACCGAAAGAAAAGAGAATGAGAACGCAGGATCAGGGCACATATGCTCAGAACACTACGAGCTCATTCAAGTTTGCAGTTATGCCGGAGTCATATCCGGATCAGAAACTGGGCACTGAAGAGGTAACGGAGGTGAAGAAACTCCTGAAGAGGGCCATTCTGGCGTTACCTGACGGGGTGAAAGCACCCACCTTCAACGGTGTCTGGGAAAGAGAAGGTGTGGCAATGGTGTGCTGCACTGATGAGGAAACGGGAAATTGGCTGAAAAGCCTTTTCCCCGAAAACAAAATAGCTGGACTTACTGTACGTGTGGTCGCAGCCTCGGAGCTTCCCAAGAAGCACAGGGTTGTACTACACGTGGAAGACCCAGATCTAACCGCTCAAGAAGCACTGTGCTTCCTTGAGAAACAAAATGCAGGACTGCAGGCCAGAGAGTGGGTTGTCGCTCGGGGCAGTGAGAGTAGGGACGCGAAAAGTGCCCACTTCGTTGCGCTGATAGACGACCGATCACTCTCTGTTCTGAAAGCCTGCAACTTCAGACTGCACTGCGGGATTCAAAAAGCTACTGTCAAGCTGCTTGCGAAAGACCGTGGTGAAAGTCAGAAGAAGGGTACATAGAGGTACCAGGAAAGTAGTCATCATTATGGCTGCAACCCGGGTGCACATTGTACAGATAAATTTGCACCACAGCAAAGCAGCCTCGGCTACTCTAGTCAGGCTGTTAGCTGGGATGCAGACTGTCATAGCAATGATCCAGGAACCATGGATAGTGGACAATGCTATTAAGGGCCTCAGTGGTTGTGGCAGAATCTATCACGCAAACACTCAGGAGAAAATTAGATCTTGCATTGTTATTAAAGGACTAGACTCTTTCTTCTGTTCACAGGCTAGTGAGGGAGACCTGGCTGTGGCACAAGTGGATCTGGGCCTGGGACAAGGCGAGGAAATGAGCCTGGTTGTAGGGTCAGTTTACATGCCCTATGACTCGGCTGAACCACCTCCTTCGAAAAAAGTAAAGGACCTATGCAACCATGTGAAGGAAAGGGGACTTGAACTCCTGCTAGGTTGTGATGCCAACTCGCACCATGTAGCATGGGGGAGCACCGGCATTAACGGCAGGGGGGAAAGCCTCCAGGAATTCATAATGGGGGCCGGTCTAAACATCCTTAATAGGGGGTCAGAACCTACCTTCATAGATCGGAGACGACAGGAGGTCATAGATATCACTCTGGGGACGGATAGAGTGGCAGACATGATTGGGGACTGGAGGGTCTCAAAGGACCTCTCAGCGTCCGATCATCAAACCATAAGAATGTCCATCCACACAGTGAAAGAAACGGAATGGGTGAGAAACCCAAGACGAACAAACTGGGGAAATTACCGAGAGAGTCTATCTGACAATCTCAGGGATATCATCCTCAGATTTAACAACAAAAAGCAGCTGGAGGAGGCTTCGATTGCCCTAAACCAGGCCATCATGGACTCCTTCGAGACAAACTGCAAGCTTATCCCGAAAGGGCAGCCCACTGAGACTCCTTGGTGGTCAGAGAGGCTCGGTGGGCTGAGGGGCAAAGCTAGAAAAGCTTTTAACAAAGCTAAGAACATGAGAGCGGGCCCCCGTAAGGAAGACGCATGGAAAACTTACAGAGGCTTGCTCGCAGATTACAACAAGGCAATAAAGGCAGCCAAAGAGGACTGCTGGAGGGCTTTCACAAGCAATGTGGAGAGTCAATCGGAGACCTCTAGGCTGGCAAAAATCCTTGGAACAAACAAGACTCCATATCTAGGGAGCCTACAGGCACCAGATGGCAGCCACACGGAAACCATGGGAGAGACTCTGAAACTCCTAATGAACACCCACTTTCCAGGCTTCATACAGGCCCAGGAGAGAGATAAAGAAACAATGCAAAATCAGAGGGATGTCTACGAAACCCATGATTGGGCATTGGCAAATAAAGTAGTGCAGCCCTGGGGGGTCAAGTGGGCCATCAAAACCTTTGAACCCTTCAAGGCACCGGGACCAGACGGGATCTACCCAGCCCTATTACAGGAAGGGATAGAGACTATCACGGGACCCCTAACCAAGATACTCAGAGCTAGTATAGCCCTGAAACATGTCCCTAGTGTGTGGAATGAGACTAGGATAGTATTCATTCCCAAGCCGGGAAAAACCGGTTATATAAAACCAAAAGACTTCCATCCTATAAGCCTCACATCCTTCATCCTGAAGACCCTGGAGAGGCTGGTGGATAGACACATCAAGGCCGGGCCCTTGGCTGACAGACCCCTCTCCCCCTGTCAATATGCATACAGAGAGGGACGATCAACAGATACCGCCTTACATCACCTGGTGGGACTGATTGAGGGACAACTGGCGGTCAAGGGTTTTGCCATAGGCGCCTTTCTGGATATTGAGGGGGCTTTTGATAGCACTTCGAAT